CATTACACTGGCCACATTCAATTGCTTTTTGACCCCATTTAGCAGCTTTCTGGCATACCTGACAACGATACTTCAGTGGTTTGGGACCTGGATTCATTTCAATATCTCCAGCCAGGAGAACGATAAGACAAAACTGAGTTAGGTTCTTGCAGTCAACAAGTGGGTTTTAATATTCTAGGTCTGGTGTAGTGAGAAGAACAATAGAACGAGCTCACCGGGTTCACCTCAGAGGCAGCGTTGTGGTTCAGTTGAGCTGTCCAATGCACTTTCACGAACGGATTGGTAGGTTGGAACACTTCTGGGTCCCGAGTAGACATTCTGACGCGAACAGAAATCACAGTCAGAAGTTGCATGGTCCAATATGTCCTTAGCGATGACATTTTGAATACCACTCACACAATGAAAACAGTAGAGAACACCGATGATGCAGTACTGGAAATTTACACGTAGACCACTGAGTAAAAATCCAAGATGGCAGGAGGTACACATTCAAAGTTAAAAACAAAGTCTTTTTCAAATTCAGCAAAAAACGGCTTAAAAAGCAGAATACGCGATCCAACAAGTACTTGAATTAATTAAAATACATCCAACGCTAAAAAGTAGTAAGGATGGCTAAAACTAAAACAGAAAAAAAATAGACTAAAAATCGCTTGCCATGAGCGCAAGAAAAACCGCAACCAGTCCTTAAACGTTGTTTCACTGACACATTTAAACTGGGTCTTGTAGACGGGGCACATATAGATCATCGCATGGTCAGAAGCCCCCAACGGTGCAGGCCGAAGGGACCTATAAACCCTCTTAATTTGAGTATAAACATGATCAATATAGCCTCTTCACGGGTGGGCATGGCGACATGTTGAGAAAAGCTTGGTTTAGCTTTCTTAAACGATGCCTGATTAAAGTCACCGGCCACAAAAGGTATTGAAGTCAAGTGATTGTCCTTTTGTTTCGCAGGTGGAATGTACGTAACAGTAATTACAATAGAAGAAAATTCCCTTGGCAAGTAAAAAGGACGACAATGGACTGTAAGAGTTTCTAAATCTGAGGTACAGGTCCGAGACTATACCTTACAATCGCTGCACCATGACCTATTGACTAAAAGGCCCACACCACCACCCTTAGCTTTATTCACCGCCTCAAAAACTCGATCCGCTCGAAAGAACACAAATCCAGGGGCACTAATGGCAGAGTCCAGTATGCTGTCGCCCAGCCAGATTTCCGTAAAACAAAATATATTACAATCCCCAAAATCCCTCCTGGCATCCATTAAGGCTAAAAGCTCATCCATTTCGTGTTGTACAGACTGTGCATTGGCAAGGTAGATACTGGGCAGAGGTAGTTTGGTCCCACGTGAACGTAACTTGACTTGCAATCCCCCTCTCCTACATCTACCCCGCCGCCTACGGTAAATCTCCTGGCTGTCAGGGGACCTAGGTGGTAGGATTCTTTCAATTAAATTTAGTCTCTGTATTTGACCAGAATTAAGCTCACCAGATGCAAAATGAAGGCGCAATAACTCATCTCTACTATAACTGTAGGTAAAAGCTGTTCCCTGCCGCCAGAACACCAAAAACACAGCAAAAAAAACAGCAGAGCTTGGAACCGTGTCGCCACGATCAGCGCCATCTTTTAACACTTAACACTGAATTAAATAAGTTTACAAATATAAACGTGGCAGGTATACGTACGTTATGGGAGCAATTGTTTACTATTCAGTAATGTGGATGGTCTCTTTTCACATTTTAGTCTTTAAAATTCAGCAATTATGCACAGCCTCACAGTTCAGATCATAATACTCCCACCTGTCACAATTCCTACTTAGGATTCAGCATGTGTGCACAGTATGTATCGCACAGTTTAGTTCATATCTCTCCCACCTGTCACCTGGCTGAAACACATTCTTTGGGAAGCCCAACGTATGTCACTAAGCTGTGGCCTTAAACAAGGCGTGGTCTCTGTGTGTTTCGGATAACTGCACCAAGCCAAAGGAAGGGCACTCCTAGACTCGTCTAGTCTTCCACTGCAAGTGTGGGCTAGGGAACCGCTGGTGACTTTAACCATCATCAGTTGGCCATCTATGTAAATCATTTCACATTGAGTGCCTGATTCAATTCTACGTTAAGCAATGCACTAATAAGTGTTATAAGTTTCACATAATGTATGTTTCAAGTTGTCGATAGAAGGAATTACAATATTCAAATTCGTAATTTATAATATTAATCCAAGTATGTTCATAGCCCACTTTCTATACAAATGACAAATGACAAACTCGTCTAGAGCTACATGTACAAGGAAATAGCATACCATATCTTGTTCAACTCAATTTCCATCATCAAAATCAGATCGAGGAAATAATTCACTATGCTCATATAAACTCAACCAATTATTCACAAGAAATTTTCAATGATGATGATGTTATCATTCAGGAAATGCAAATATTTACAATGATTCAATAAATGAAATATAATTGCTTACAGTCATCTCGACACTTTACTGCTTATGGGCTGATTGGAAAGGCGCCTGTGCAATGTCCTTCACAGCATACAAATTACAGAATATGCAGCTTTTGCAACTGCACAATGGAATAAGAAATTGGTTCAAACCGTCACAGCAAGGATCGGCCTGCAAAGGATCGGCCTAGGTTTGAAAAACACTCTGGCAAAATCTTGGCTATGCCCGAATCAGCCAACGCTCTGTGTCGGAAACAATAACACTCTGCCCTGCACAACAGCAATCTACAATGCTCAAGTGAAACAATGGACCCAAGAGACGACGACAATCCCAGAAACCCCCAGGACCAGAAAACCAATTGACCATTTTCCTGCCACAGTGCACCTTTGACCCTTTTTTTGTAACCGTGACTACTGGACCGACGACTATGACCAACCAAGCTGTGCAAAACTAAACTTGCACAAGTCACTCAGTAAAGTAAAGACACTTAAACAATGGCTTCATGACACACTATCATCATTCACCTCATGCTACCTCAATAAAGTCTTGTGATGAATTCTTTCATCTCAAGACAATACTAGCCTCTTCACTGAAACCGTAAGGACCCATACTGGGTGAGCCACCTACAGCTCTAACTATTGGCCTCCTCCTTTCTTCGATGAGTCCTCATCATTCCACATGGTTGTCCTCATTTTAGTGCATCCTTGCTAACCCTCCTCTAGAGTACAGTTCTACTCTGCAAATACAGTGAATGTTTGGGTGGGATGAGCGCAGTGGACTCCTGTCCCACAGCAGTGTGGGTCGAGTCTGCTAGCGAATACTTACCCAAACAGTCAACGCCTTCCCGTCCTCCCCACTCTGGATCAGACTTTGCCCTCTGACAAAGAAGGTCACTGCTGTGTTGACAAAATTTGGAGTGCCCCAACTGTGTGGGATACAGTTGGGTCAGTGGCCAGTTGGGGGGGAGTATGTTCATTTCATAAGTAGTTTTTCCTAATGAGGTTTTTCTATTGCTTGCATGATGCCTGTTCTTGACGGTTTCATTTTCAGATATCTTTTCCAAAAAAAATTTGGAAATTATGGACATGCACGGTTATTCTTTGTGACACATTCACGCATGGTTGGCCCATGGTTGCTTTACCTGATCTCTGATAGCTGCAATCATAGTCGGCCTCAAATTTTAAATTTAGCAACAACCTTTTCCTTTCTTTTGTGCCATGGGTAGTTTTGGTTCTTTGCATCATTAAACATGAAATTTATGGATATGTTAGTGGCTAGAGATTTACCATGGAGATGACGGATATTTAGCTGTACTTGAATATGATGGTGGCCACGGGCTCCCCCATCATTTCCACCATTCCGATTTTGCCCTAACATTTCTGCCAAATTGCAATTTTGACATGCCTATGTATTACCAGAAACTGGCCATGTAATCTTGTGCATGTACCATTACATGACTTATCTGACTTATCCGAACAGTCAGTGCAGTGCACTTTGCGCACGCCATGTCCTTGGCAGTGCCCTCTTTTGACACCTACCAGTCATGAGATGGACGTGATCATAGACCTGATACCAAAGTCGTTCTTGGACAAAACACCCACTATCGACAAGCTACATTGTACATGTAACTAACACTGTATGTGTTGTGCAGCGCCTGGTTTTACAAGGAACTACATGTACAGCTAAGAAGGTTTTTGAACCTAGAACTAAGCACTGTTGTGAAATTTACCATGATTATGTCAAGTGTTCAAGCACCCTGTGGTGAATTTGTCACTAATTTTGCACTGAATCAGCACATGCAAGAGATGAAAAAGTATTGCTGACTATTCATTCTTGTGAAAATCAACATTTTATGGAATTACCGAGTGCGTGTAGTACTTTATATCATCATGGATGCAGACTTAACTCTTGCACAATGCAGCCCTGATTTTTCCTTGTTCATGGTAAGCTGACATGACGGATTCTGACACCAGTGCCCAAATGTATTGTTATTGACATGTGAAATACAACAAGTGCCAGTGTTGAATATGTCACATGTCCAGTAGGCTGTATTCCTGTGACATCATGTACAGTTGTTCCTCATGTGAATGTATTGCAGCGACACAAATTTCAAGAATACCTGTACCAGCCATTGTTTTTCATTGGCTTGTGTTAGGTATAATATTCTGAATGTTAATGAACAATTCTAAATTTTGAGGAAAAGAATTCTGAATTCTTGATAGCCAATGTCAGGAGGTCTGCTACTGGCAAAATTCTTGAACCATGGTTATAGATTTCATTAAAGCAAGAGGATACATGCATGTGATCAGTTCGTGACCAATAAAAACTATTTATGATCACAGTAAAACAAAGTTGTTTGTTTGTGTATTCCCAAAGATGTGGTAAAATTTGTTAGAGGACCAAGTTGTTGAAGCAAATATTTGTCCCATAACAAATTTGTGCTTATAATAATTGTGTCCCCACAACAACAGTGTGCTTGGAATCCTTTAATCACATGCACCAATTTCTTGTGTTGTTAATATTATCATCTTGTGTATTTCTTTTCTTAGACTGGATTGGCCTGTGAGAACATTAAGCTTCAGCCATGATGGAAAGATGCTTGCATCTGCTTCAGAGGATCTGGCTATTGACATTGCTTGTGTTGAAACAGGTATGGGCATATACTGAACTTGGTAAGATGAAATATAAAGATGTGTTGCCCATTTTAGCTGCATGTACCTGTCTCAACCTAGAAATCCCACATAACCTACTTCTCTAAGCCAGAGAAGTCCTGTAAAACTGATGTGCACTGTGGTCCCATGTGCTTGTCATGCTGAAAAGCTTAAAACATCACAATCCGTTGAATTGTGATGCCATCAGATGTAAAATAATTGTCTACGGCCCTCTACCTACCTAAACAGTCACTACATGTGCAAATTTCCCACACGCTTATTATTTTTTGGCTGAAAAGATTCGATCACTGGTTGTGCACCCTGACCTCCCACAATGCAACGTGGCCTCGCCGCCATGATCGTCCTTCTTTTCTCAGCGCCGTTACATAACAGACATGTCTTTTGAGTTGTTGTTGATTTATCGAACTTCTGTTTTCACTACACGGTTCTGTGTCAATTTGATCACCTTTCCTTCCTTTGTAAATGAAGTATTACATTGATTTCATCCATTTATTGATAAGTGTCTTCTTTTTGTGTATAGTTTGTTTTCTTTTCTCCAGTTTTCTTGCATGCACACCCTGCAGGTGTTTACCGCTGTTGGCACGAGGTTCGTTTGAGCTACACCTGTGTCTACCCTACCAATAAATTAGAGGCCTTAGCCGGTTGAACTCAGGGGTCGCTTTCGGGATCTGTCATAATCCCCTGTCTTCTTCGGCTACCAGGACAAGGAAAAGGCCTTGCCATCAGTGTTTCAGCTAGGATTTGAAAAGTAGGAGTGCAAAATGAAAAGCAGGGAGTGCAATCTTGTTACAGTCCCAAATTTGTGTGTGAAGCACGCAACACGAGCGCTCAGCACGAAGTCCCTTATGGCAAGGATCCAGGGCCTGCGTAAGGGCCCTGGAAGCTCTGGCTATTTTAGATGCTCTCTGGTGGTCTCTGATGAATTTCTGACATTTTTTCAAGAGAGTTTTGCCTTTTCGAACAAAAAAAACAGCTTTTAGAAGAAAAAAAATTTAATTGTAAAACTGTCTTCAATTGTTGTTTTATATACATGTAGCATGATTAAACAGCCCTGCAACAAAGAAGTGAATAATGACACCTTTGAACAGATTTCTCATAACCACTCCGTTTTCAAGGTCAGTACTGGACAAACGTTTTTGTGCCTTTTTCCTTGCAGGACAGTACATCCAGATTATTATGTGATAAGCAAACAAAAATAAATACTTTTTATTTATACTTGGTAGATGGCATGAAAAAAACCATGGGAAAAGACTGAATTTTAGCTCAGAACTTATTTCCACATTTTTTTTGGATCTAGATTACACAAGCCTTGAATTAAATATTGCATGGCTTGATTTGCACCGCCAGGCTGTGCTTGAAAAAATGGGCCTTAATTTCACAAAACTGGCTGTGCAAAACACGGCTGCACTGCTCGCTAGCTAAAACGCTGCTTGCGATCATCCGGGGGTAACAGCTAGGACCTGGCCAGCCCCCTGGTTTGTTCGGCCCCATGGAGCTGACAGGGAAGCTCTGTGATCGACTGTGGAAGACCCAAGCAAGGACACAGCTGGGATCTGGCAAAGACCTTGTCTCCATGGTCAATTGCTGGCCTGGCGAGCCAGCCAAGACTCCGGAGAGAGTACCCCATCAGACGTCGTCTAGGTCCATCCTAACATCATTGTGAAGTATGCGACACCCTTCACCTTACGTGGCCCAGAGGAATTCATCCAGCGTTCCAGGCAGCTTTCCCCTGGCAACATCAAAGAGTACCACCCACCATTCAACATCGGCCAAGAAAGACCACTTTTCCAGTCACCCCGTGCATACTTCCTTTCACCCAGATATTGAAGTCACTGGGCCAGGCCTCCACGAGTGCCAGGGGACTGCCCCGCCTGGTGCGCCATTGAGCAATCAGTAAAAGAAAATTAAAAATTGAAACATTTTTGTCCTTTTTCCAAAAAATTAAATATGTTGATTTAAATCACAATTTAAATCTGTGATTTAAATCAAGGTGATTTAAATTAGACTACCCTGAAGGGAATCAAATTCAAGACAGTAAGATCTGTAGTCCAACTTGCTATCTACTAGACTATTGCCGCAGCTTGCTGACAAGAGCTCTTTCACATGCTTTAATGTTGTGAAAAGACATATGTCTGTCACATCTGTGCTGTACATGGGTTTCCCATTCATGCAAGCATTTTACAGACACGCCATGCACGGATTGCCTGGCTTTTATAGCCTCACCCTCACTCGCTGCCTCATACCGCCACTGGCCTCCACTGCCCCGGACCCGTTTTTAGTGGACCAGCCCCTTCTGCCCTCTCTGGCCGCGAGCCATGATGACACCGGGCAGGGCTCCACACAGGAAGCGCACCAGCTGGGCGTTCCCTGCTGGAGTAAGTCGCTCCTCAAGGAACTGCGCATCGCTCAGAACGAGGCATTGCCCTGTCTGTTCTGGGCAACCAGCACTGTCTTGGGAGGAGGACGAAGTTGATTCCATCAGTGCCCTCACTCCAGCTGATTGCTGCGAGACATGATTCAAGTGTTGAGCCTGCCATTAGCCGCTCTGCCAGAGGAAGACATCAGGCGCAGCTTGTTTAAATGACATACAGCATGACTGGAATCTTCCGGTCTAATTTTTCCAAAACTCCGGCTTGATCATTTATACGTGGAGATATTTTAGTCTCTAGCCAGAACTTGGCACGCATCGGAGCTCCAGCCGGATGGTCCTCTGCTTAACCACATGCCAATCTATGGGGCAAACTTAGCTCTGACTATAGCACTAAGCTGGTGACTGCGTCTGTGGTTGAAGATAACACTGATTTCATCGGCGTCTTCACCCCTATGACATGTTCCAGGTTTGCAGTCCTCTGTCAGCCTCCTTTTCAGAGGAAGACACCGACCATGCCCATGCCAGTCAACCGACCGCACCATGTCTTGAGCCTCCGCCTTACTGGACCACTCCCTCTTGTAATCCAGAGTGGCCCCAATGTATACAATGCTGGGCAAAGCACAATGTGCATCTCCTCATTCACCTGCCCTTTATCTAGGGCCTTCCAGAAGAACATCTCCGGGACAACTACGGTAGAAAAATGTTATGACAAGGTCCTTCAAACTTTACAAATACCTTGTGTTATCAGTTATGGAAAACAAATAAAAATGGAGATTTAGGATGCCTCCCCCCTTTGTTTTTTATATGCCTTGTTATAAAGATGACCTTGTATTATTAATACTCTTCTTATCTGTCTTCGACTATATGTGTTGATGTATTGCAATAGTCCTTCAGGCTCCCCCTTCTCAGATGAACAGGAGCCATGGCCCCACTTATCCAGGTGGCCCTTACATGCCGATGCCCCCTAGCATCTGACATACCTATTTCATGGGCATCCAGACGTAATTCAGACAGTAGCACTTTCCAGGCCAATGCTGCTCCAGTGAATACACCATCGGTACGTTGACCCAATCCCAAGTGTCCATCACGGCCCTAGCTACCATCGTTAGACAACAGGGAAGTGAGTCCACGCCTCACCTGATGATCTCTCAATGACCGCTACAGGTCTAAACCTACTGGCATTCGAGACTACTTCACCGGGCACCTAGACAGGAACAAGTAAAGCATTTTCTGGGCACTCTTTCCATGTGTTTTAGCTCTGCCCTTGTGAATTCGCCCACTGCTGTATCTTTGTAGTCTGCATCCCCAGGCATCTGAACCTAACAATCTTCAAAAAGTTGGGGTTTTACACGCTCCTTGGCACCCCGTAATCTGGATGCAGAGTTCCCTAAAGGGCCCTCCGGAAGAAATTTTGCGAATCTATTTCCACTGCAGCTCACTACATACAACCCTGTGATCTGCAGAACAACTTTGCTGTGGCCGCCACTACAAATGTGGCTCCACGTGACCACAGATTTTGCTCTGTGGCCTTATCAGCACCATGCCCTGCACACTGTCCGGGTGCGTTAACTTCAAAGTGGGTATGTCCAAAAAGTAGGCCAGCTGTAAGCCCATTATGTGATGGACTCAGGCCATCTCCTCTGATTATGCCCAGCATGATCAAATTGAAGAAGGGTACTCCGTCAGGCCCTGTCCATTTCTGAAATAAATAATAGGCGCCTAGGAAATTTGTGTATGTAGTGACTGTTTGGGTAGTTATTCTCTAGTAGACCAGACCCACACTTAATGTGTCAGAGGAATTTGAAGTTTGAAATTTAAATCAAAATTTTTAACGATTCATATTAAATCAACAGCAGTGAGTGAAAGAGTAACTTAAGGTCTTCGTTTGTGTTTGTGTGTGTGTGCGTAAAATTGTGTTACCCCTGCTTCCAAGTGGTGTAACTGTCAGGTCACTTGCTGGTATTCAAAACGTTTACCGTTTATTTCATTTCTTAAGTGCCATTTCTATTAACAATATTCAATAGCGCTGTACATATCAAAATAGCAAAAATAATGATTACACGTTCATAATAGTTATATAAAAACTACAACTAAAATTATAATTAAAAGTTACAAAAACTACATGAAGTTACAAGTTGAACCACATGATTAATAAAACATAAAATTACATGCCCAAGACTTAATTGACTCCGAAGGAAATGAAACACAGAAACAGAGTTTTCAAGATGTATTTTTTTTTTTTTGCGTTGGGGAGATGTTAATTATATATAACGGGTTTGCCCTTACCCAACGTATATTAATAAACACTGTATGCTCAGTGCTTGTCCGAGAGCTTGCGAAAAAAACCTCACAAGCTTACTCGGGTGGGACTCGCCGGGGTCGGCTGGCCGGTCCGAGTCAAATGAAGCAGCGGGTACCTCNTATAGAAACAGAGTTGCCAGTCCACTCGGTTGGCCACCACCATGCCGAGTTTTATTTCCAATCCTTTCCTCAACAAGCACAACATTTTAATGCCTTAATAAGCAGAAACAGTGAACAAGGTCAACTAACTGCATGCAGTTTGGTTATAACTCAATAACCCAATGCACATATAATAAGCATCGAACTGTTACAACTCTTAACAAGGTTAAAGGTCACTTCGATAATTAGAATAAGTGATTAACTGTAAATCAATGCCTACAGGCCCATTCCTGGGGTATCCTAGTGGTAGGAATGCCACCAGCCCGAGCGGGACCACAAGGGCCCTTTCCCCGTTAAAAGGTTAAAGGTCACTGCCCTACTCAAATAAGTAATCACAGGTAAATCAATGCCAAAAGACCCGTCCTGGGGTTTCCTAGTGGCAGGAGTGCCACCAGCCCGAGCGGGACCACAAGGGCCCTTTTCCCCTGATCATTTTCCAGTCCTGGGAGGTGTCCCAAGGCCATAATTTCTTCCTTTTATTTACTATTTGGAATTTTTCCACCAAACAAGTTCCTATTTCAGGAACTTGCCCCATCCCACACCCCCCTTTTTCCTTTTTCTTCATCGAATATTTGTTTCGTATGAGTTTGCGCGGCACTATGGATTCTCAAGGCTTTGAGGGATAAAGGAGGGCCTCGCTAAACAGCGCAAAAAAGGCTATGGCATTGAACATGTTCTCTTGGAAAAGCAAGTTGCCGGCCGACGACAGATGAATGCCGTCACGGTAGTACAGAGTGTGCTGAGACGGCTTAATGTTGTGTGAATGGACAATTGCATGAGCGTTACCTATATTTTTGCATACTTTGTGACCATGCTTGTTTAGATTCTTCACACACTTTTTTCCCCTGCCCGACTTTTGTTCCCCATAATAGAACAATCTAGGTAGGATGTCCGACCAGATGATCGTCA